GGAATTTTTTGCAAAATTATACCTTTGTTATACGATTTTTTCTCTCGCGGAATCTCAATAAGGGATTTGCTTAAAAGACGCGCATTTATTTATCATTCGTCTATTTATTGTTTCAGTGACAACTTATATTGTTATATGTATATTTCTACCTGTGTTTTATCATTATGACCGTAGTTTGTAATAATCTTCCGATTGGGAGGGATTAAATTTATTTATACTAACGACATTAAACTCTCGGTGTACACATTGTACCACGAAATTCTAATTTGACTAAAACATAGTGGCGTATTAGCGTTATGCGAATATTGATTTTACAATGCAGTTTACATCATTGCTGCCTGTCCAATCGCCGGAAGCGATATTGCTTGCTATATGGAAATATGCTTTGTCAAGTTACGGTTAATTTTATAACAAATTAACCATTACCAGTTATAGAGATTATTCATGGTATTGCATTGGTGAATTTATACAAAGTAAATTATAATATTTTCGATTCCGCAATTGCGTTACATCAGAAAATTGAAATGTAATAATTAATAATAAATAATTGTGTAATTAAATCACTGAAAGTTAAATGTAAAAGTTTTCTTTTATATTAAAATTTTTTTATTTTATGTCTTTATGAAAAACAAATAAGAAAAAAATGACATTTTTGTCAGATATTTTTTAATTAAAATGTTTTTTTTATTATTTAAAATAATAAATAAGTGGAAAAATATTAATTTGTTATATTTTAATAAATTTATTATTTTTCACTATACACTGTATTACTGATTATAATTTACGTTGTAATTTGCAGAAAATAATTAATCAATAAGTGGATAAACTACAATCTTTTTAATTATATCCACGTCGCTATCAATTGTACTTTTACATACACAAGTGGATGATTTATGAAACTTATAACTTTTTCATCAATCAATTCATTTACGCGAATTAAAATAATTAATTAAAATTATGTTAAAAGATGGATGGTTACAATGATATTATAAATATAGTCGCGACGATGTTATAAATATTTTATTGGAATCTAATTATATTATTGGAATAACTAGCATAATGAGTTATATTATACATTTAGAATATATAGCTATTCTAAGCTTGTCAGGCGGCCGATTAAGAGCATAGTCGAATGGCAGACTTTATTTAGTATACTTATTCTCGTTCACGTTAAAATGCTGCCGTGGATCCGCGTTTCCATTTATCGGAGAGAAAAATTGAACTTTTAGACATAGAAACAAGAGAGAGAGAGAGAGAGAGAGAGAGAGAGAGAGAGAGAGAGAGCAAAAAAGAGCAACCCCTCGCATGGCTGTCTTTTCAAGAATTTGATCGAAATTCGATCATTTCACTTCGACGTTTTGTAAAATATTTCAGGGAATAATGAAATTATTTGATAGAGCTTCTAGAAAAGAGCGACGAAGAAAATGATAGCATTTCCTTTCACATGTCCGATCAAAATCGATCACCTATCACTTGAGTTTACGCGCGAATCAGCAAAACATAATCCGAGGTATGAATATATTTACCAATTTTAGATAATTATACCATCTTGAATTATTTTAAAATAAAACTTTAAGAATTAAATTGTAACTACAAGAAAACTTTTTATTATAAGATAAAAATTTATATTTAAAATAAAAAATTGGCTCAAACAATAACAATAATTAAAAAATTAAAAAAGTGGCTAATAAGAACTAACTTTTAATTTTTTAATTAAATTTATATTTATTGATTATATTTTTTAATATTAAATACGCAACAAAGAATGTCAATTAGAAAATTTATATATAAAGTTAAAAAAAAATTATATATTAAGAAGAATGATTATGATATTTTATATTCCATCTCATTATTTGAATTTTTTTGAAACTCCTTAATTAATACCTAGCTTTTGATTTTTCTGAAGTCTTTATCTATTTTTCTTTGAATTGTTATAATTTGGGTGTCGCTGAAGTTATGATGATCACGAAGATGATAATCTTTGACTGCCTTATCGCAGTCCATCTATAACGAGGCCGTAGCTTATAACTCTTTCCATCAGGTAAATCACAAACGATTTTGCTACTTTAGCGTTTTTGCGCTTGCGACTCGTAAACGACCCAGTTTCACAGACACGGAAACTCCAAGTGTCATTATAGAACAGGCGTAGCGTGTAACGGAGTCAATAAAACGATATCGGTTGACTGCGACGTGATTAATGATGACGAATGAGTCACTCGAGTAACAGTACGATTCAATTATAATATTTGTGAAACGCGAAAAGGAACATAATTTGTCATAATCGATTGGATGATTTGCTCAATGTATGAGATTTTAAATTTTATGGAAACACTTTCGAAAATCTATAAAAGACATTTTTTTGAGGTCAAATAATTCTATTTTGAATGTAGCTGGCATTTTATGTTTTCAATAATATGTAACTTTTACAACAAAATATGAACACACGTGAAATTTTAATTTGTTATAAAAAAGAATAAAATTGTATTTTATTCGATATAAAATTTTAATTTTCTCTTCCTGGTGTATATATATATATATATATATATATATATATATATACCAGGAAGTATATATATATATATATATATATATATACCAGGAAGTATATATATATATATATATATATATATATATATATATATATATATACAGGATGTCTCAGTTATCTTCCGTCAAAGACAGATTCCTGGGATCATGTGAAGACGATTTTTCCTCAACGAAAATGTCGAGGCACTAATAATTTTCGAATTATAAGTGATTGGAAATAAGGGGTTTTTCGTAAACTAAACTTTGTAGAAATAAAATATCAACAAAATCACATTCTTCGATTAATTTTAAATAGAGTTTACTTTAGTTGAGTTTTAATTTAAGACTTAATTGCAAAGATATATGATGACAAAAATCGAGAACATGCAAAAAATGATGCCTTCATTTTCGCTGATGAAAAATCGTCTTCAAGTGATCCCAGGAATCTGTCTTTGAAAGATGACGGAAGATAACTGGGACACTCTGTATATATATATATATATATATATATATATATATATATATATATATATGTTTATATATATAGAATAAAAATTGTTCTTTTTATTGTTGTTACATATTCTAATAGACTTGTTACGAATCTATGTATATATTTCCATATTTTTCAAACTCTGAATTATAAATCTTCGATACGTGTAAATCGCGATTGTGTATTTTCTCTTATTTCTTTTTCTTCAGTTTTTACTTTCGATTCGAAACCTTTGGAGTTTGTCGAAGCCACTGATGAAATGTGTCATGCAAATGTCGACGCGGTTTTCAGAACATTTCAGCACGTGGATTTAAATATTTCACGCTTCGCTCGCGGTTAGGCAATCTTGGGTATCGATATTCGCGGGGCTCGGGCCTCCGTATATTTTTCGTAGCGTGAATATTCATGCTTTCATATACATATACGTGACATCTGTAACGGCGTCAATTTGTATAGATCTCGTTGCGCGAAATTCAATATGTAGAACGCGAAATGGCTATGCATCCGTTACCGTGAGCATCGTATTTACCGCTAAAATCGAAGACGATAACAATCGTGAAAAGAAAACATATTAATTGAAAATTGTCATTTAAATAAATTTTACAGTAAAACATTCATTTTCTTTTCCAAAATTATAAATTCTTATGAAAATATTCAAAACTATTGCCATACATCACAGAACATTGCAGAAATATTGTGGGAATATTGTTGCAATGTTCCGTGCTGTGCTATGGGTTAAATTTTGTTTGTTTTCTTTTTTTATTTCTCTATTTTTATTCCTTTTTTTATTTCATATTTTAAATTCTTAAAACATTGAAGAGACTTTGAAAATTTAATATGCTGTTTTTTGTTTGAAAACTTACAGAGTATATTTCATCAAATCCTTAATTTTATTAATAATTACCTAATGCTGTTATTAGTATAATATTAATAAATAAATGATAGAAGTTGGTTTCTTTAAATAGCCATTTTTATTATATTTACGGCTTAATTATATTACAGAAATTAACCCTGCTATAATTATAATCCTTCTCGAGATGATAAATCTGCAAATGCAACACGTTATGTATTGATTTTTCCGGAATACGATTCTAATTTTGGAAAATTTCTTTGCGTATGTACCGGGTGACTCGCAATTTCGACGCCTTCTCTTCCTCTCGCACACACACCGACGCCATTTTCGCGTCATTATCGCACCCGTATTCACGATACGGCTCCCTCCTTTCGCTTTTTCCGCAGGTGCTACCTTCTTTTCTACTCGTTTTCCTACCTTCGGTTGGCACGGTTTTTCCGCGCTTATCTACGCGGCACTTATTTGCCGGGGCTATCTGGAAATTTAACGCCTGCGCCCTCGCCAGAAAGATCACCCTGCCATTTCAACTCCCACCCATCTACTCACATGCTCGTTCAAAATTATCTCTCACGTTTTCCGACCTCTGCCTGCACATTCACAAACATGTAGACACAGACATACGTACACACACGTTCATTGTATTATTCACTCACTTTTGACGGCGGAAAACTTTGTATTATCCTCACTTTTGTCCGATTTCGTTACTTCTCATGTAGATACATGCGGATATATTTATTAATTATGTCATATTCGGATTTTATTTTAAGAGAATTGCCACAAAATTTGTTTTATATTAAAATAAATTTTTTTATTTTTCATTTTTTCGTTTGAAGAGAAAAGGATTATGCAAAATGCTAACTATATTTTTAACAAGCGTTTAAATAAATATATGATCTTATCAAAATTAATGATGCCTCTAATTGCAAGTAAAATATTGTTTTAATGATATCTTATTAACATTAATATAAAAAAATATACAAAACTGAATCTATTACATATTCTATTATATACGAGTATATTCTAATTGAGAGGAAAAGTAAAATATATTAATTTGTATAAAAATGAAAAATTTAATTTTTCCTACACGCATTAATTGCTACTAACATATAATTTTGCTATACATTTAGAAAATTAACTTGTGAGCAATGATATCGAGCGCCCAATCGATTTTCTCGCGAAAGAGAAGAGCCTCAAGAGGGATCGATTTTCAGACAAGGAAAATCGCGATTTGCTCTGACAATCGTTTGTCTCCGCGACACTTTCGCTTTCTTCTTAAAGCTTACAGATTAGCTCGACAAAAATCATTTGGAGCGTGTTGAATCGCTTCTCCCTTCGGCTGCACCTTCCCCTTTACCCCTCTCGTTGATGTGCTGGATTAGGGATGAAAGCGCTGTCATATATCGTAGCGCGTACTACTAGCAGTCGTCCTGGGTCGAAGATGATTGCAGAAGCGCCGCTACTCGCTCCGAGAAATCGCCTGAAGCTGTACTGGAACACTGAAAGCAAAAATTGATCGATGCCATGAATAAATTAAATATTTTTAGAACGCGAAGAAATTTTATATAGCGAAAAATAATGTAATAAAAAACGAAACTAAATAAAATATATTATTAGATATTTTATTTTCTTCAAAAATATCCTAATATTAAATTAAAATAGTCAATTATTTTTATATTATATTATGTATATAACGATTCTGGATTTTCAATTTTGAGCATTTCTTGCATTTTGAGTACATAAATATATTTAAAGAAATTTTTTATTGAATTAATTTTTTAATAAATTAATTTATCGTTCAACTTATTTCTCAATTTATATGCATATTATTATATTATTATATATATATATATATATATTTAATATATATAATAAATATATTATATTTAATATATATAACATATATATATATATATATATATATTTATTTATTTATTATTATTACTTGTATATGAAAATTAATATAACTTGTATATGTTTGTGTCACTTTTTAATTACACTAGAGCCAACATTCTTATCTGATCTTTAGTATAACTTTTCTCCTTTAGAAAGAGTAATGATCGATTTGAAGATAACCGAAATTACGTGTTTACGGGGATAAAATTATCCAATAAATGTTCCTTGCACCTGTCTCGTTCTCCTTTTATTTCATTTTTTTACTTTTCACTGTAATATCTGTTGAGAGTGTTCGTTTGTGGGTGAAATTAAGGAACGCACGTGCAAACAAGCGTCATGATTTCGCTATTACGATAACTATTATCGTGACTCTTCTCTCCCTATCTTTCGCTTTCCGCGTCGCCGCATGCGGCGAGGAACAAGTTTGTAATAATTATTGATATTACTTATGTGTAAGATGGAATTTGTTACTTTCAGTCTTTCATCAGGAGGAAGATTACAATCTCGCAATTATTTTTAATAATAATGATTAATCTCTTAATTGATTAATTTGTGCAGAGATAGACATATAAAAGATATAAGACATATAAGATATGTAACAAAAATAATCCAACATTCAGATATCCTGAATAATAGAATATTTTTCCAATAAGAAGTTTCTTATCAATGACAAAATACTTTATAATTGCTTCAATATATTTTTGATTCTTTCAATAATTTATTCGAGATTATTTAACGGGGAAATAAAAAAAAATAATACGAGGCAGAAAATCGAATGCGAAATTTCTGTCGTTGCATACGTTAAAATAAAAGCAAGATGAAGAAATAAAATAAAAAGTTACAAAACATTTGGCACTTTAGCGAGAGGTGGAAATTCGAGGGCATGTGGTTAAATTGCAGCGCACATTCGCGGCATTTATCCCCCACGGGATACAGTGACAGCTTGAAACTTTAATGCCGATCGATTGAAGGTATCGATGAGATACCTCAAGTCGATTCATTATTCTTTTTTTTTTATTGTATTAATTCCGAGAACATATTATTTTATTGATCAATTATCAACGTGCATATAATTCGTAACATACCAAACATAAAATTAATACACAATTACAATTAAAAATAAAAATATATACAAATAATCTTTTCTTCTTTCTCCACTTTTAATTATAATTAAATAATAGAATATTAATTAAATAGAAATTATTATATTTGGAGAAAATAGTGATAATATTTGAAAAAAAATATTCTTTCAAGTAAATAATATTTGCTATTTATTTTTAATAATTTAATTTTATAATATTTTTTGTGTTCTTTGATTTAAAATAGGATTGAGAGCGCAAAAGACATTAAGATTTTGTAGACTTTTATAGACTGATAAATCTTATAATATTCTTAATATAAATATAACTTATAATACCAATAATTATTAGATTATGTTTAACTGCAATGTTTAAATTTGAAATTAATTAAATTAAAGAAAATTAAATTAAAGAGATTAGGGTTATAGCGTTAAAGATTAAATATAGGATTGCACGAGATACTGAGATTAGTCTTAATTTTGTCTTGTCTTATAATTCGAGACAAGATAGAGATAAAATTTTTAATTAGTTTAAGATAATACTAACATTAAAATTGTCAAGATTATTGTGATTGTATTAAGATTATTGATTTTTAGAAAAAGCTAAAATATATTTATAAATATTTGTCATTTTTTAGTCCGTAAATATATATATATATATATATGTATGTTGTTTCTCGGAAAGATAAACAAATGAGGAAAATAGTAATAATTTTTTATCTTAAATTATATTATGAAAATTATATAACGAAACAGATGTATTATATATTTAAGGATTATATATTTAAGGATTGTTAAATATTATTTTAAACATTTTTCAGTTAATTAGATAAATATTGTTAATAAAAACGAGACAAGATAATGCACAGAATGAAGTTTTTACTAAAAAGATCACTCAAGATCAAAGGAAGATTTAAGTTTTTGAAACTTTTTAATACCAATACAATATTTTTACAAATATTGTCTTGAGTCTTGTGCAACTCTAATTAAGAGTCTTCTTAAATAGAATACAGCGATAGGATCCACGATTTCCTGGCTTTCTTTTCTCTTTTTTTCTCTGTCAGCGTGACGATACAGCGTCGTCAATGAAAACTTGAAAACTTCTTCGTTTTCTTCAGCGAGATCGCTGAAAGCATAGACGATGCTGATTTCCCAGCGGGTGTCGCTCGTCTATAAATCTACACCCAAGGGTTGTTTAGTCGATGTTCGCCAGCATCGTGTATTTTTGATTCGGCAACTACCGATGTGAAAGAGAGGGACAGAGCAAGGGGCAGAAGGATAAACCGTCGAATGGAAGTTCCGCGTCGTTGAACTTCAAACGTTGCGGACTAGATACGTTTTGCATTTGAGAAACAACAGTCGTTTATTCTCGATGCAGGGAGTCATTCCGATTCGCGATACGACTGTCAGTTCCTTAATTTCAGTAATTCCTTACATGTGTAAAGACTCATTAGCATCAGAATTTTCCTTCAAGATTCCTTGTAAGTATTGTTTATTTTTTCCTATGTGGATAATAAACCGCTTGAAATAAATGTGGAAAAAAGATAATTTATTTAGAGAATTTTAATGGGGTTACTCGCCTTTTTTTCTTGTACAAAAAAGAAACATTACTTACGTAAATATAATACAGGAAAAAATAAATATAAAAAGTTATATAGTAAAAATTATATATATTTCCTCCTGCAGATGATTTTCTAAAATTAGCGTAATTAATGCTCATAATTTTTCTAATTTAAAAATTTAAAAAGATGTATTTTAAAACACGATCTAAATTTCAAAATAAAAATTCAAAAATTTCGAAGAATTACTATCGGTATCTTATATGATAAAAAATAATAAATAAATTTTTACTCTGCATGGAACGAGTTTAGAATAAAACAGCAGAGATATTTATATTGCATTTGGTGTGAAAATTTTGGAAAATAGCAATCAAGTAGGCTCGAAGCATGGAAGATGAAGTCGTGAAAATGTATGAGGGTTTTCGAAAGCGTAAATTCTACGGAAAATGTGGGGAACGTTCTGCGGTCTCAGTGCTTAAACAAATATCCTTAGGGATCCCCTTCGGCTAACCGGCCTTTCGGTTTCCTCCGAGGTGAGGCGTAAAGGTGACAATTTGAACGGCTTATGGCGCAAAGACTACGTAAATCCGTAACATTGCAGAGTCCTTTTTAAAATATAATTACTACATGAAAAATTACACTTGGCGAATCGTCAATTATTCGTTCCAACGAAGCTGCATAAATTGGAAATCTAATTTATTCCTGCGAGCTACTCTCATTCTTTTCCACACACTTTTATTCATTCCGGACTTTTTATATCGCTTCGCTATGTCGTCTCGCAATTTCTCGATGTACAGTCCTTCTTTTTCCCTTATTAGGCTTGCTTGCTCTCGATATCTCGTTTCGCTCTTCTCTGGTTCATCCCCCTTTTTCCTATTTAACGTCAATGAGATAAACTTGAGTTCCGCAAGAGCCTTTAGCTGCCACGCGAGATATCATTAGTCTCGCGTAAATACGATATTATGAGAGTGATAAAAAGAGCAAAAGAAACATGGTCAGGAAATTTTCTGCGCTCGTGATGAGCTTTATTTTCCATCTAGCTTATGGTACGGTAAATACGATACGCCAATGTCCTTTTTTTTAACGATATCACTTTTAGAAAAAACTGAATTGAAAATTAACGGTAGAATTTTTGTAGCAAATGACGATAATTGAACATTTTGCATCGACCATAGACAATACCTATACGTGGCTGCTGAACGAAAGATAAAATTTACTCGTCGAAAGCCACGAGAGGGGAGCGAGACGTGTCGGAGGCGTCCACCGCAAATATGCCGGGGTTCGAAATGTCAGCATGAATTGTAAAGTAACGTTAAATAGACTCTATTGATTTTAGGCGTCCATCGGTAAATTCCAGCCACGTGTACGGTAACAGTAAATTCAATTCAACTCTATTTGCCGGCCCGACTGTTTCATTAGATAACGATTACCGTCGGCAAACGCGCGTTTGTAGGTAAAGCAAACGATACTCGAGCGTTATATCCGGGCCTCCCCTTCCCCGCCTCTTACATTTATGTACGCGCAATTATTATGCAGGCCGTGCGTGCGATGCGCGTGGCCCATTACGTATCATACACATGTGCGTATCTCACACAATTAATTTATGTAGATACGCACATCATACTGTTGCACATCAACGTTCGTGCCGCGAAATATCGTGTTGCGCGAATCTCCCCTTCCGTTCTCGTTTCCCTTTCTCACATATGAATGAGCTCGTTTATAATTTAATTAATTAATGTATATACTCTCCGTGCATTTGTAAACGCAGTGAAGCTGCCAAACGCAGCTTTGTGAATTTTGTAACGTCCTACAGTTATCTTTCCTTCAATGTTATGAAAAAAAAATTATTATGAAAAAAAATAATTATTATGAAAGTATTATAAAAAAAATTATAAATATGATGAATATGACAAATATGATAAAATTATAAATTATAATTATAAAAACGTCTTCACGTTCGTGAAAA